TTCCCACTCCTCCACATGCAGCTGCTGGTGTGACCTTGGGCCAGTCACGAGTTCTCTCAGAGCTGTTCTCTCAGAAGCAGTCCTTGAAAGAGCTCTCTCAGCTCCACTTTACCTCACAGGGTGTCTGTTGTGGGGAGGGGAAAGGAAAGGAGATTGTAAACCACTCTGAGACTCCTTTGGGTAGTGAAGGGCGAGGTATAAATCCAATCTCTTTTTCTTCTTCTTCTTCTCCTTTCTATGGCAGGGGAATGAACCTAGGAACTTCTGCCTGTGAAACAGATGCTCTGCCACTGAGCCGCAAACTTTTCTCCGGGGCCCAGCAGCACCCCGCCTCCAGCCAGCTTGCATTAATGCAGCAAAACAACATCCGAGCAGTTCAAAATGACCGACAATAAACTTAGATTTCTAACATGGTTGTTAACATAATCACAACATAAAATGGTATTAAAATAGTAAAGCAGAAGCTAAAAAAAAAGTCGTATTGAAATAGAAACCACCTTCAAACCAAGCAATCAATACCATACATAAATCATTACCCAGCGGCAGCTAAAATGCTAAAACTTGGCCTTGAAGCTTAAGAAAGGTCAAACAGAGCGTTTTTTTCAAACAAAGAGGCTTTTAAAAAGACTGGAGTTAGGGTTGCCACCTCTGGGGTTGGGAAGTTCCTGGAGATTTGCGGGTGGAGCCTGGGGAGGGCAGGATTTGAGGAAGAAGAAGAAGGAGAAGAAGAAGAGGAGGAGGAGGAAGAGGAGGAGGAGATTGGATTTATGCCCCGCCCTTCACTCAGAGTCTCAGAGCGGCTTACAAACTCCTTTCCCTTCCCCTCCCCACAACAGACACCCTGTGAGGAAGGTGAGGCTGAGAGAACTCTGACACAAACTGCTCTTTTTCAAGGACAGCTCTGACAGAAATATGGCTTACCCAGAGTCATCCAGCCAGGTGCAAGTGGAGGAGTGGGGAATCAAACCCGGTTCTCCCAGATTAGAGTCCGCGCACTTAACCACGACACCAAACTGGCACTGCACCAAACTGGAGGGGAGGGACCTCAGCTGGGTATAATGCCATAGAACCCTCCCTGCAAACCAGCCGTTCTTTCCAAGGAACTGATCTCTGTCATCTGGAGATCAGTTGTAATTCTGGGAGATCTCCAGGCCTCCACCTGGAGGCTGGCAACCCTAGAAGTAAGAACATAAGAGCATCAGAGAAGCCAATGTTGGATCAGGCCAATGGCCCATCCAGTCCAACGCTCTGTGTCACACAGTGGCCAAAACCTAGGTGTCATCATGAGGTTCACCAGCAGGGCCAGAACTCCAGAAGCCCTCCCAATCTTGCCCCCCCCCACACCATGAATACAAAGCATCACTGCCTCAGACATGAGAACCTAAGAGAAGCCATGTTGGATCAGGCCAGTGGCCCATCCAGTCCAACACTCTGTGTCACACAGTGGCCAAAA